TTGTTCAGAGATACTAAGAACCTGTTTTAAAATGAAAAGTATAAACAGTATAAAAAACAATATAGGGTAAAACTGATGAATGAGAATGCTTATCAATTAAATATAAATTTAACAACTCAACAAACAAATCTAAAACATTATGGAATATAATCAACAATGGGAAAACTCCTACAACAAAACATACACCTACTACATGATGGCATGTTTCTTGATAACCCTTCTGACATTTGTAGGACCTTTAACTGTCATTTCTTAAATTCAAAGCAGGACATTGTAACCAATAATACTATTGATTCCCTATCTTCTGGAACTTCAAAATCTATGTTTCTCCTTCACACAAATGCTACTGAAGTCAATTGACTAATAAATTCCTTCAAAAATAGTTGCTCAACTGGGAATGATGAAAAATCTTCAATAATTCTTAAAAAATGTAAGCCTGCTCTTCTTAATATATTAGTTTACTTAATAAATTCATCTCTGGCTGCATTCACTTTCCCAGATTCTTTAGAAATTAGTATTGTAAGACCACTTGCTAAGAATAATAATAATAATAATAATAATAATACACAAATATTGGGAATTACCAACCCATAACTCTAACTTCAGTATTTGGCAAACACTATGAAAACGTTATATTAGCAAGACTTAATTGTTTTCTTGAATCTAATAATATCTTTAACAAAGCACAACATGGGTTCAGGAAGGGCTTCTTCACCACCACTGCTGTTGTAGAGTTCATACACGAAAGCATTGGAAATTTGCAATCCAATAGAGAAACAGCAGGAAACATCCAAATTTACATCAAATTTTGATACAATTACATCTGGTGTCCCGCAAGGATCGATGCTTGGGCCTCTACTATTTCTTTTTACATGTTAGTGATATTCCAAGCTCATCTGATTTCTCTGTAATTTCTTATGCAGATGATACAACATTAATAAGTAGGGGGCAAAATCTTTGTCATCTAGAAGCTAATCTGACTGGATTTGTAAATCAATTTAAAGTTATGTGTTCATAAATGAATTAAAATTAAATGTTGATAAAACAGTATTAATCAACTTCAAGTTTCATCACGGTCACCAACACCAAAACATAAAAGTGGAAGTAGAGAATGAATCAGTGAACCAAACAGTCATAAATTCTTAGGAATATTCATAGATGAAAACCTCACATATAACGAACAAGTTAATACACTTCGTAATAAAATAAACTCTAATATATTCCTCTTGAGGTACTTTTCCAGACACCTGGAAATTGATGCACTAATTTCAGTATATTATGGGACAATCTTCTTTCAACTTCAATACGGCAATAAAATTTGGGGTGGTACAACACAAAAAAATATGGATAGATTAATGGTCCTTCAAAAGAAACGTATAAGAAGCATTTTTAAACTGAATCCCAGACAGTCCTGTAAAGATTCCTTTATTAAATATGAATTACTCACTGTTTTAGCACTCTACACTTACAAAGTATTATTACTATTGACAAATAATCAAAATCAATACTTTGTGAGCAATAAAGAGATACATAACCACCATACTAGAGGACATAGGAACTACCTCAGGACACTACACTAGCAAGTCTTCAACTAACAAATATCCTTTCTGCATTGCTGCAGAGCTCTTTCATAAACTCTCAGTTAAAATAAAAACTGAATTGCTTTAATTTTCTGTAATTAAAATCCATGTACCTCTGCAAGAGTGACCACTCTTTACACCTGTCTTCATTCAGTACAATAAAGCAATGTACTATTCAGTAATGTAGTAAATAATGTAATTAAATGTCAAGATATTGTAATTAATGTAATTATTATCATTAATTGTACACCTAATGTATTAGAGTCATTGTAAGTTAATTAAACTGCTATTCTAAGATAAGGGAATTACTTACTCCAATTGTAAGCTATTTGCCACTATCATAATCTACTAGTTTATTGTTAATGTTATTTGTTATATATTAATGAGGATTTGTATAGTTTAAAATGTAATTTACCTTAATGTTTATTGTGAGCAATGGCATCATTATTCATGTAATTCATTTACATTATTACTGTAAGTTATGTAATCGAATGTAATTCGTTATAACTTAAAATAATGTAATTGTCTATAATAATCAAATAGGTATATTTATATCATGTAATTTAGAAAGATAATGTAAACTTATTATACTATTATTGAAAGTTAATGAAATTAACTTACTGTAATTCTAATAATTTCTAGGCTGACTTTGCTTGATGCTTTATGTCGTTTAAAAAGTTATTATTATTGTTATTATTATTATTGTTGTTGTTATTATTATTATTATTATTATTATTATTATTATTATTATTATTATTATACGGGAATCAAACCCGCAACCTGTGGTGAAAGGCAAACGACTTCTTCAATGAGCCACGAGAGCATTTTTTTCATTGCATTACAGAGCATTCTATTTGCCCTCGTAATTATGTAACCTATACGTTCGTTTTTTATGAAGGCCTTAGTTTTACATTTATGTTAATATTCAAATTTAATTTATTACTTTCACACCAATTTCGCTGAGAATTTAAATTCATTTGCAAATCAAGGTTATCACCCTGTGTCATAACTTCATAATACAATTCCGCAAATGATAGAAAATTACCTTGGGGAAACCCAGATGCAACGTCTCGTGACATGTAACCTTTATATTTAACATTTTGAGTTCTTCTGAATAAATAATCTCTGAGCCATTTCAAAGTGGCTCCATGTATTCCAAAATTAGACAATTTCATTGATAAAATGTGTTTAACAGTATCAAGCGCCTTAAAGAAGTCAGTAAAGATAGTCTAGAGCCTTTTCTTTCATTTAGTATCTAGCGTTGAAGTTATTTTATAATCTAATAATGCATTGTTTTTGAATAAATTACTTGACAACAAAGTTGATAGTATTAGAGGAAATCAAATGGAAAATACCTACACAAAATCTTTGTCTTCACAATCAAGACATTTTTTATGTTCTTACAGCAAAAACAAATTTGTATTGTAATGCACCATTATGGAGAATGTTGAGAACCTATAATGGTATAAATGTTGATCTAGATAAATCTCATTCTTATTTCAAGGATCTGGTGAAATTATAATTTTGAATGACTATAATTATAGATTCATTTACTTAATTTTATATTGTATATAAATTGTAATTGGGTGATTGCCTGTTTAAATTAATAAAACTAGAAACTAGAAAAACTGAAAAGAAAAGTCAAATCAATTATGATTTACACAATTTCCAGAAAGTTTTCGATAGAGTAAATCACTTTTTGCTGTCAAAGAACTTGATTTTGTAGGCTGTTCGGTAGTTTATTACTGTGGATTTAATCTTAGTTGTTAGGAAAGAAGTAGCTAGGATCTATACTACATCTAATATTCATAAACAATATAAAAATTAACTAAAATCTGCCTTGGCACTTCTTTTGCTGATGACTTTAAACTCCAAGGAAATAAAAAAATTTTGTTTGTTATTCCAAGAGTCTTTGAATGCACTAATTACTTGATGCATGGTAATCAGGCTTTTCTTAATTATAAATAAATGTATTGTCGTGGGATAGTGTTTCAAAATGTTTCAATATTATTTCCTTAGGAAATATACACACCAACTTTGAAGAGTTGAAGTATTTATAGTGTAAGGAGCAAGGAGTGATTTTAGTTTCTACACTTGTGCAAATTTTGGGTTTTATTAAATATAAGTCCTCTGACATTATGCAAAACACCACCTTGTTTATCTTGTATTTGACCTGCAAGGCCAATACTACAGTATGCTTTAATATGTAATAAATACGATCTCTTAAAGAAAAAATTACGTTTGTGAAACGTAACATTGAGTTTTTGTCATCAAAACCAACCCAAGAGTCAACAGATTAGGAAGTAAATAGTAATGCACGACAGGTAAATTGGTAACAATTAAAGAAATAGGCAAAATTACCTTTGGTGAACAAAGTATGTCACAATGTCAACTCATGTAGTCATTTTTAAATCCTTAACAGTAATAACCCTGTAACTTTTCTTGACCGATGGCCTGGAGAAATGAGGGTAGAGAGGGAGTATTAAGTAAAAAATTGGCCACTAGCGTTTTATAAGTGATGCCAACTGTGTTAAAATCAAATTCAAACCCACATTTCAACACAATGCACTGCTGGTAAGTTTCTTGACATGGGAAGCACACTGACTTTGTTTGCCCGAAGCGATGAATCGTGTTCAATTTATAATAAATTCCTTTGTATCAACTGTGTCAGGGTAAATGTTAACTAATGAGACACTATTGAAGATTTAAAATATTATAAATCAACATTGTTCTTGGAAGATCTGTTGAAAGTTGGTAAAAATATGTTTAAGGATATAGTTTCGCTAAGTATGATCAATTGGGGTCTTCGAATGTCACCTTTGTTACTGCGTGTTTCTGGGGAATTGAATATAATTGAAATATCTCTTTTAAACTTTATTCTTTGTATTGTCAAAATTCTTGATTCAGTGAAAGCACAATCCCAATCCAATGTATTACTTAGAGAATATATCAAAATCTCGATCCCTTTTCCTCATGTGCATGCCTTCCCAATTTTCTCAATAAATTTGTGTTAGCTGCTATGTTCTCCTAACTTTCTCGGAAGTTTCAGGTTCGAGACGTCTCCTGTGAAGGTTCTGAACCTGCTTCAGCTATTTCTTTTCATTAAATAAAAAATAAAACCCAACAACAATACACACACAATAATGTAAACATATTTCTGTTCCGCCAATAAAGATGATGTCTTTACAATTAGTCAACATTGTCAGCAGTGCATACTGTGAGCTTTTACCTTCACCTATTTATTGTATCAGGGAGGTGGAACGAAGCCCATTGGCCAAGATGGGTTGTGCAGGTAATATATTACAGGCATTTTGCCTAACATTCACACTCTTTCTATAATAAAAAAAATGAAGTTTTAATGCAAAAAGTGATATTTTTATTACAAAATATACTTCGACAACAAGGACAGATATTACTTACACCAGTAATATTCCTTACTCTCAAATTTTGGTCAACTAACAATAAACACAAATGTCTCACCCTATAAATAAACAATCCAGATAAATTATCTTCCTGTCAGACAAAACATGATGGCATTCAAATCATTGACTTCTTTTTCTCTCAGAGTTAGAGAAAAAACTTAATTTTGTTAATCTTTTCTTAATTTTCATGAACTGCTTTAGATGTTTGACATTATAATCAGAACTGGTTATTAGATATCACTGATTAAAAATGAATGACTATACCAGATGACTGATTTAACTTAAACAGCAGGTTTTAAAAGAATGACCGCACGCAACTTTGAAGCAACAAGCAAGAATTGTTGAAACAATATTACACCACACTTTCTTCTACATTCTTTACCCGCAATTCAACTTACTTTGCCATAGAAATGCATCAATTGTAAATTAATTACAAACGATGACCACTTAAGATTTGGTTGGAACAAAATTTGGTTTTGCGTTCCAGATAAATGAACAGAATACACTTAATATAGACATAGAATTTAAACACAATATTGTTTCACAATAGACTGCTAAAATTAACTAGTACCAAGTTACACAAATTAAATACATAATATCTAATATAACATTAAAGCAATTTTGTATGAAGGTATCAAAATAATACACAAAAGAAATTAAAGAAAGGCACATTTAAAAACAACAACAAAATACAACATTTTTGCAGCTTGGACATGGCCAGGTTACGTACTGGGTGTAGAGATATAAAAATTATCAAATTCCATTCCATTTATTCTATTTTTAACTGAATTTGTGTGTATTGATTGAATTATTTCAAAAGGGATTAAACCACTGCCACAATTGGTTCTCTCAATCAAATTTTAAATAAAAAGCCTTTATTAGTTCTTTTAAGGCAAAATGTCTGAATTACAAAAACATACATTGGGTTTTTGTAAATATTTTTGTGTTGTAATCCAAATGTGTAGTCACTTAAATTTGAATGGTACAGGAAGGATAAGGAAAGAGTCATAAGAGAACAAAGCATGAATCAATCCAGTTGTAGCTAAAAAGGAAATTATATTTGCAAGTGAGAAGATCATCTTTGTATGTAAGTTTCCTAGTACTTCAGCAATAATTTTCAGAAACACTGAAATAAATAAGTTAAGTATTTTTGATCTTTAAGACCTGAAAGACTCTATTTACATTTCAATTCACTTTCACATACTTCATTCAATTTATACCCATGTTTTGATGGCCCATAGACAAAGAAGAATCATCAACTTCATGACTATTGAATACAGAAGACATCTTTCAAATTTCAATAGTTTATACACGATGATGAATTAGTGCTTCAGTCTATGTCAAGGGCAAATATCAACATAAATTGATTTTGTGAATACGGCTAAGAAAGCAAGCCAATGATGTAAATCATGGCATTGCTATTCTCAGGGAAGTGTGCATATTGAAAAATTCTGTTTTCTGATTTTGCATGTGGAAAAATAAACTTATCATTATTATTGTTCCTTTTTGTACTATTGCGAAGGCACACAAAAGCCTTTAATATACTCATGTCAAAATCACTGCCACATGACACTTGATTTTAGTCTGCAGTAATGCTATTGAAGATGCTCACCACCTCCATTCCAATGCCAAACATGTAAGCCAAGTTACAGGAACTACTCACGAACAATAGCTGTTGAACTTCTCCACACAGCGATAAGAACATAGTCTGTATTGTACAGGCACTTCTTCATAGAGATTAATACCACGGACAACATTTGCTGCTATACAGTTCATAGCCAAGTTTGAATACACACAAATCCCTTCTTTCAAGCATGCCTGTCTGCAATGACAAAATGTAACCGTGTGAAGGTAGTGCTGCACTACCAATGGAAGATCTGCAGGAGTGAATTTCAACCTGTAACAGTCCAGTACACACAAGAAGATATTTAGATGTTCTTCAGAAGTAGGATCATCACAAACTATTTTCAGTTATCTAAAATACAGTACATCATAATCTGGATTAATTAATTAACAGATTATCGAAATGAACCCATGAAAGGGCCAGTGAACGAATTTAAAGTATGAAAAAATGCTAAAATATTTCGTAATTCGCTCTGATGGTTTTAAAAGTTTAGTGGAAAAATAAAACCGGATTTATGGCCAAACGAATGTTCCCCAAAATGTTCTAGCTTGACTCAAAGCCTGGTGATGTAAAAAAGATTTTTTTTGAATTCTGAAGGTACTTTACATCAAGTTTTGCGACATTTTCAAAATTTTATCAAAAATGGCTTCAAATTTTTTCTTTACATTTCTTCTATGAATGTATGTTCGAAGGTTATGTCTTGTTAATAAAAACACGTTGTATGAGATGACATACACATAATGAACAATATTTTAAAGTCTGTTGTAATGTTTATTTTATTGTATGTTTCTATTAATTAAACAGACAATTTTTTATAACAATTTATTTCATGTTGCATATTTATTTGTTTCGAATGTATTTGGTTTCCAAACATTAAACAACCCAGGGTCCAGGCTAGTTGACATCATACAACATTTTGAGCATTTTGATTAAAAAATTGCCATTCACATAAAAATGATCATGTTGCCTTCATCTGGTCAACTGGTATCTGTTTTATTAAGGTCTAGAAACTTACAATAACATAAACATCTTTTATTATTACAAAAATTACACAAATGTAATACTTCTGACATCACTTTCATGTCAATAATATTAACATTACTGATGATTTGTATACAATATTGCATTTTTCAAAAAATCAAAAGTTTTGTGGAAAGGAGTTCGAAATTCCACATTTTTAGAAACGCTCAAATGTCAGTTTCTCAAAATCTGTTCCAAATTTTTTCTTTACAGTTTTTTCAACTGCATTTGCACACTGAAGTATCGTGAAGAATTGAAGTTTTGGGTGAAAATGAGATTCAAAAAGCTTATTTTCAGAAATGCTCAAACATTTTCTTAAAAATAGCTTCAAATTTTCCAATGAAAATTTGAATATATAATGTGATTTTACCTCTTCTACAATATGCGTAAAGCGATATTTCAATTCTACTTACTAGGGAACCAACGTACTGGGAAAACGTGAAAAATTGGAGTATTCAAGCGATCTGCTGGTTATGAGCAAAGTGCTGCATTCACTTGTACATTAATTACCCCCACTACTTGCAAAATACATAGGATACCAACAGTGGGTAGAATACCAACATATTGTAACGTTCCTCCGTGGTGAATTAAAACCAACACAATATTTAAACAAAGAAGGTTTA